TTCTGTAGTTACCTTTTCTATGGCGTGTTCTTCCTAGCTATGTTAGTTGGATCAGTTAAGAACGCCTCACTTTTTCAAAAATTTACCTTAAATTTTATTGGTTTTCGCGTGTGTGACTTAAGCGAACCGATAAGGTGTCATTCAAGTCTTCCTGTTTCTTTGATTGAAATGTGATGTTCACGAAAGTCGCCTCGATAGATAAGATAGAATTAATATACATGGCTGTGGTATTTGTTTTTTGCTGAGTTCCGTAGTTATTTTTAAATTGTCCTCCAAAGTTGTCTCAAATTAAAGTCTTGAAAAGTGTCACAACAGGCCTTCGCTCAAGTGAAATTTCATTTCCATAAAACTTTGAAAAATAAAGTGATCCGATCAAACGGATTGTGGTTTTAGTATAGGCACATGAATGTCTTACAACACACAAGAAATGAGGGAAATCTGTGTCTCGAGCAAAATCCACCCGACCGCTTTTACAGAGACACTCTCTTAAATGATATAAACAACGAAAGCATACCATGTAACTGTTGACGTGGCAGTAGAGGAATAGTTGGGAAGTTTTCCAGAGATGAAAAGATCACAATTGGCATTTTTAAGAAGTTAGCCATTGCTAGAACCATAAGATTTCCCAGCTCTTCAATAAAATAACCACGATGGGAATACCGCTCAACTTCGTTTTCAAAATTGTCAGTGGCTAGGAAGTTTTTTTAGTGTTGCATGTTCTTTCCTGACCACTCTGAAACGGTTAATTCTCTCAGTTTGGTGACTAAGCTGTCTTCACTCTGTTTGAAAAGACCGAGATAAGTTAAATGCTCAACCACTTGACAATCTATTTCTCCTGTCCTTGTAATGCGAATAATGTTCCTTGCCACAGCTCGAAAACAACAATCTCCATCTTTGGGAATATGCTACCGGGACATTGAACAGCTCTTCAAAATGTTGTCTATACGTTTATCATGCTCGATGACATCTCGATCTGTACTGAGTTCAACGTTAGAGAACAAAGTTACTGACGTGTTTAAATGAGAAAAGTGACGATGTGACACTTCTGTTCCTGAATTACTAAGGCTTGCTAGGCTTTGAAACGTAGCCATGTTTGACTGTGCCTTGCTCAATACATTAATCACAGCAGAGTGACTCAAAGAGGCCGCATGGTTATTACAATTACTTTGTGGCGCTGTTAATTCGTTAGTTTTTTCCCTTTTCTCCAAAGTTTCCAACTCATTGCCGAATATTTCGTCTGATTTTTCAAAGATTTGGCTTGTCGTGGAATGAACACGTTCTATTAACTTGAGTCTTTAGTGAAGCACACGGGTTTCCTCTGGAAGTACGCTCGACGACTTTCTGTCCTTATGGTTAATGCCATCGAATACTATCATTAATAGGGCATAAACTAGACGAACTCCCACTCTACCACCATTAAGAAGATGACCGATCCATCTGTGTAGTGCTTCATTTCTGTAAGCTCCTCTTCCCGGGGCTATTCCTTATTAAAAAAAAAAAAAACAAAAACAGCTACCATAACAGCAAGAAAATTTTAGCAAAAGTCTCATATCACTTGCGTTTAAAGTGATTGTTCTATAAGAAGTTACCAGCTGATGTAGATAAAGGACAATGCAACGATTCTAAAATGTGTCAGTTTGAAATATTCATAGAGAAAAGTATGGATTAAGTTCTGGTTAAGGATTTTGTTATACAAATAGAGAAAAGCTTTTAATTATTATATAATTTGGTTGGCAATGATGCTTAGTTTTGTTTGTGGTCAAATAAGTAGCTTGTTAAGTGGAAAGGTATAGCTCAGTTGCTTTGACTAGAACCAAGGTGGCAGTTTGTAGCATCCTTATTGATTATACAAGAATACATATTTAACAATAAGTGTGGAAAAACTTGAACACTTAAAGTCAAGGGGAATATGATGCGGCAACAAGAAAAACTCAATATTTTTCACTTTTGCATAGGGAAAAAAATTTGCCCCACACCTATACTCAGTCCTTTAGACTTGTGACTGAAAGGAAAAAAACATTAAATAATATTCTGAGGGTACAGAAACGCGAGGTTCAGAGTTAGAAAATGATTTGGTACCTTATATGAATAACTTTAAATGCAGCTATAGGATTTCAACAATTTTGGGTGTCTTCTGGCACTGTGTCCCATCTGGTCTTTGCCCTCACGTCCTCTGTTCCCACTTTTCTCTGGTCCTCTGTACCCACTGTTTCTCTGGTCCTCTGTACCCACTGTTCCACTGGTCCTCTGTTCCCACTTTACCTCTGGTCTCTGTACCCACTGGTCCTCCGTGCCCACTGTTCCTCTGGTCCTCTGTACCCAATGGTCCTCTTTTCCCATTGTTCCTCTGTTCCCACTGTTTCTCTGGTCCTCTGTTCTCACTGGATATCTGTGCCCACTGTTCCTCTGCTCCTCTGTACCCACTGGTCCTCTGTTCCCACCGTTCCTCTGGTCCTCTTTTCCCACTGGTCCTCTGTTCCTAATGTTCCTCTGGTCCTATGTACCCATTGGTCCTCTGTACCCGCTGGTCTTCTGTTCCCGCTGTTCCTCTAGTCCTCTGTGCCCAATGGGTCTCTGTCCCCACTGGTCTTCTGTACCCACTGTTCCTCTGGTCCTCTTTACCAACTGGTCCACTCACCCACTGTTTCTCAGGTCCTCTGTGTCCACTGGTCCTCTCACCCACTGTTCCTCTGGTCCTTTACCCACTGGTCCTCTGCACCCACTTATCCTCTGGTCCTCTGGCCATCCGGTCCTCTGTGCCCTCTGGTCCTCTGTACTCACTGGTCCTCTGGTCCTCTGTACCTGCCGGTCCTCTATTTCCACTGTTCCTGTGGTTCTCTGTGTCCACTGTTCTCCTGGTCCTCTGTACTCACCGGTCTCTTTTCCTACGGTTTCACTGGTCCTCTGTGCTCACTTTTCCACTGTTCCAACTGTTCTTCGGGTCCTCTGTACTCACTGGTCCACTGTGCCCACTGTTCCTCCGGTCCTCTGTGCTCACTGTTCACTGATCCTCTGTACCCATTCACTTTACCCTGCTGTTACATCTATCTGTTAATTGTTAGTCATTTCATTTCAGAACCCGGTATATGAGAGACTACCCGAAAGTTCGGTTTCCAATGTACGTCCACAATTCGCATCGCGATAGAGAATCGTACTGTCGTTGACTCGAGAGCTTATTTTGTCCCCTTTACGACCTTATTTTCCAAGGAGAGTATTCTATAGCATTGCTTCTTTATATTCTTAGTTCCACAAGGCATGACTCACTAGACAGCTTATGCATAAAAAGAAAGCAACCTTTTGATAATCTTGTGCCTATATGCTTATCCTTGTGTCCGAGAGTCCCATCCAGCGTATAAGCTTTCATATGCTTATCCCTATGTTTACATCGCAAGTAAATACCGAGCTTAAAATTGCAACAATAGTTTTTCGATAAACAAAACAGCACCCTTTTGAACTTTCTTTCCACAAACCTTTACAGTAAAATCTGGAACAGTGATTGTTTTACTCTACTCCTACTCAGACCATATTTTTTGTCTTTGAGGCCTAATTTAAGTTCGCATCATATTCCTCAAAACGTTCATTTACCAGTCCAACACTTCTTAAAACGATTCATACCCCAGTAGGGAAATCAAAAAGCAATTCCTATTGACGACACTTAAATAACATTGGCTTATCCAAATCACGAGTTGGCTCACAGAGCCTTTGATTTCTTTTGTTAGTCGGGTAATTATTAATTTAGTTAGATAATAAGTGAGTGAGTTAGTTCGTTCTCTCGTCTGGTCGATCTTTCTTGAATCCGTTTGTTTGAAATATCTTTTTAAATTGGTGACCAAATGTCATGCTTTTGTAGTGAGAACCGTTACCTCCTGATATTGACTGAAAACTATGCTGCGCTACCCATCGTACAACAGCTTCTTTTGAAGAGGTCAGAAGATGCTGTTGTGATCTTTGGAAGCAGTTTTCCAAATGACCAGGAATACACTCAGGTGAGCAGCAAATGACGACAGGCACTTGACGAGTATTAACAGAATTTATTTATTGCTTTGGGTGGACTTCCACCTATCTCTTCATCGAATGCTTGTTGGGCCCCAAAGTCCACAATGTTCTCCTCCATTTTCTGGATCTACTTAAAGGTGGCTTGAGGGTGCATAGTTCTGTACAGGGATAATTAACGATGATCTGCATCTCTTTAGTTTTCACGAGATACTTTTGAAAATCGTCCACTGGATTCTCCGACTTAGAGATGACTGTGTCAAATAGTTAGACTGGGTAACTCTTTGTTGTCACGACACGGGCTCATCAAAAAATACGCTGTTTCAAATCTTGAGGCATTTACCCCCATCACTGTGTAGGAATTGGGGCTCTTTTGATGTGACAATTTAAGGACACCACTCTTCATTTGTTGAACTAATCAGTTTCTATTGCTTTCCAAATTTCAGATTTGCCGCAACATCAATCGTATCAAGGTCTGTATGGAAACAGGAAGAACCGTGATCTTGTTGAACCTTGAGAGTCTTTACGAGAGTCTTTACGATGCCTTAAATCAGGTAGGAGACATCCGATGCAGAAATACTTTGTGCATAGATAATTGGATGAAAATCAATTTAATTTTTTTTTCTCAGTAACTTGCATACAAACAATGCCGGGATGGGGAACAAAATGATGTTACATCGGTGATGAAGTTTTGCGATTTGTTTCACAATACCTGATGACGCATGGCTCCCTGACTCTGTATGAATTATTTTGATGAAAGCTGTATTGTGCACCCATTCTGAGCACCAACGCAATTCTATCCTCTATTGAGAAGTCTATGTCAAATAAGGCTTCACTGAAGAAGCTTTTTGCACCATGTTTGTCACTTTGTAGGCAGTAATGTCAAAAGCTGCAAGAATGTTAAGTTCCTTCTGTCTACAATTTTTTTTCAGTACTATGTGTACTTTGGAGGGCAGAAGTATGTGGATCTTGGGCTTGGTACTCACCGTGTAAAGTGTCGGGTTCATGACGATTTCAAGTAAGAATTTTTGGATATCGAGATAAATAAGTTGTCTACCTTGTTTTGTTGTACAGCTATTATTGTGACCGCGTCGATGACTTTTGCTTTCTTTGTTTCACGTTACTGGTAATTTTTTTTAGGTTTTCAACCGTTCAATATGCATCTGAATCTTTTAAATATGATGGCTTGAATCACTAGGATAAATATGGCGATAAAAACGAAACCACGGTGAATGCAAATTCTACGAATAGCGCCTAAATTTATTTTTACATGAGGTTAGTGACTAATCGATATGACGATTATCATTCGTAAATTCTGCGCTCAATTAGTCTAATAAATCCTAGCCGCAAGATATGGTGTTTTCTCGACGAACTTCCCGATTTTTCTTGATTTAGGTTGATAGTGATTGCCGAAAAGGACGTGGTGTACAACAAATTTCCTATACCGCTGATCAACCGTTTAGAGAAACACTTCCTTGTCACCTTAACAAGTTTAACTCCTGAACAGGGAGATGTAGTACAGGAAATGAATCTCTGGGCTTGTAAGTTTTCTGAGGTTTCGAGAGAGAGTGGATGTAACAGGTAAGATTTCGAGGTTTTGGGATTAGCTTGGGATAGTTTAGAAACATTGTTTTGACATGAACTTGTCTTTAGCCTTGATCACGCTAAAGGCACATGAGTGCGACGTGTGATGGGTAGGGAGAATACCATTTCCTCCTCCTCTTTTTGGAAGCAAGGGCTGCTTACTCTGTGATCACAAGAGGGAAAGAATCATTATGTATTGAAACTTTCCGCACCAATCACTGGTTCGAAAAATGCAAGAGAAAAGATAAATCGCCGTGCTTGCAAAAGAGATACGATGGGCCATTCTTACTGTATTCAAGGTTGTGCTGGAACTACTTACGTACTTCGTTCCCTGGGGTTATGGTAAATCTTGCGCTAGCAGTGGTGTAATAATTGATACGCGAAGAAACATTTCATGAGTAGAAATGCTCAAGCAATTTAGTGTTGGAATTATATGAAAGCGATGTTTGCAGTAAAAAACCCTACTTGTGTCGCAGTGAAAATAAGGCCTGAAAAATTCAGGCTTTCCACTACTACATAAGAAGGGTCTATTACTGTGAGGATCACTTTCATACATTTCATGAAACTACAGAACATATATATGATTTTCATGTATTCAAATTCAGTGTTGGAGTTAGTTTATGTAATTTTCAAACGATATTGACTCTAAATGTTCCTCGAGTCGTCGCTTTCAAGGTCATGATTTGCATGAGTTTTCTGCACACTTTTTGATTAATTCTTATCAACTTTTTAGAGATGATTAGTGTATCAAAATTTTTCAATAAAATAATATACACTACGCAGCTCCTTTGAGAGTAAAAGACCATCGTACGCGCGTACTTTAAAGAGTTAGGTGTGATGTTAAGCGCAGGACACATAGCGCAGTGCAAAATTGAGGAATTACCCAACAAGCATTGTGTTTATATGATTTTTGTTTGTTTTTTTATTTTAAGGGATTTCTCCATCGGGGACGCTTTCGTTGGATTCCACGATGACACAATCCCCTCCATTGTGATGCAAGTCTGCAATGAAAATAAAAGAGAGGAAAATTTATCAGCCAGTGATCGCACAGAGGATACAAAGGAAACGAAAGTAAGAACGATACGAGACGATAAATAGGTACTATTCTTTGGCTAAACCTATTATTTCCAACAGATATTTTGAGAGTAACTCAGTTGCTTTTTTGGTATGGAAGTATACGAAAATGCAAGGTGATGCTTCTCTTCCTTGACTTATTCAGTTTTGTATGCTCGTATTTTTGTTTATTTGTTTGTGTGTGTGTGTACGTGCAAGCTGTGACGCTTTACCCACACTAGACCGTGAAGTAGCTTCGCATATTTTCTAAGCTGATGTCCAAGGTACTTCGAAGATGTCAGATGATGCTTCTGGAGATGGCTACACCTGATGCAATTGCTCGTCTTCCATACACTGCTCTGGAAAGTGAAGCTCGTTCCATCTGGAATGTCTACTTTAAAGAGCAACAACATTCAAGTCTGGCAGCGTTCATGTCGCATGTGCTTACCTTGAATGATAATCATCAAGGTGAAAGGCGTCAGGAAGGGCTCTCGATTCAGGTAAGTCGAAACATCTGGAAACTTCGAATCGTGTAAAGAAATGATCGGATGGTGGTATACAAGAGAAAAAGGCACGAAAGAACTAAAATAGCCACTAGTTACCAAGTTCTAGAACATTCCCAAAATGGTGGGAATGGTTTGAACATGTGAAATCTAACAGACCCAATAATAAACCAGAAGTGGCTTCTTTAACCTTGGGAAATATCGTTAACTTCGTCTCTGTTTTCACGACTTGACACTATTTGGTTTAGTAATCGGGTTATCATTTTTGCCTTAGGTAACTACCCATTCACGTCTGCTCTCCAACAAAGATTTGGATGAAATAAGTAATCAAACTGATTTTAGACGTTCGAATGTGGTTTTAATGACACTGCAACAATTCCAAACGGAGCAGCAGTTTAGAGCTTCGGTCAGGTAGGAGCTTGATCTCGAACAACTTCTTATGCGTTTGCTTAGCATTAATAGTAAAAGTGCCCACTAAAATTGTATTTTTAATTTGATGTAAAATATATTTACATTGAACTACGTTTACTTTTCAAAATCGGGAAGTCTTGGGTTTCCAAAAACGGTTTTGACAAGCAGTATGGAAACGTAGGAACGGGAAGCCCTGAACAAAAGTCCCTCGGAGTTCACGCTACAGTTCGATTGAGAGACGGGGATTAAATTACCAGTGTGATGGCTTTCGTGTACTGCTATCGAGCGAATTCTAACTGAGAAAGAGTGCGAACATTCAATTATTCCTGACGGAGTTTTTATAGATTCGAAGCAAATTTTTGCACGACTGCGGCAACAACACGAAGTCAAGCGGCCGCTCCAGTGAACCCTAGACAAGGCTAAGAGTAAAACAGAGTCAATTTTTTGCATGCGTATATTAACAAGAAATCACATGACTTTTTCTCGTAAATTTTTCGGAGACAATAAATTTCACTCGCCCTACGGGTTTGTGCGATCTGGTTAGCCTTTGAAAACTTCACTTGCACAGACTTATTCCGAATTGCTCATCTTTGCAAATTATCTGTGCTTATCTTTGCAAATTAGCTGTGATTATCTTTGAAAATCGTTTTATGGAAGAATTTAATTTAGCCCCAAGGGAGATGTTGAATAGTAATTTGCCAACACTTAGGAAAATAGAGCGTATTTCGTCCTGAAAATTACAAATTTGCCCACAATGATGTGTAATTTCTTACGTAATCTTTTTCTTCCAGGGATTTTTTTAAGCGTTTGGGCGGAAAATGTCCTTGCATTCTAGTGGTTCAGTGTGATTCGGGTGATGAAAATTTCAACCTGATTGCTGGTGCAAGGCACATTCTGCTAGAGGAACGAACAAATGCACCTGAAATACTCGATTTGCCTTCGGTGCAAGCTGTCCACATTTTGCTGGTCATACAGCTACCAAGAATTGCTGGTGGATGTCATAACTTTGTCGGTTTCCAGGGTGGGAAATGGATGTCTGCTCACATTGATGAACTTCGTCCACCTGGTGGGCACACTCCTTCCATCGAGCAACTCACCGATCGTCCTATCAGTGAGCTTTGTGGCTTGGGAAGTGGAGTAGCAATGGCAGTGGAGCTCCTACGTAACTGTGTACAGGCGGCTGCTTGTAGAATTGATAGCGAAACGGAATCAGCCGAACGGTCAACTCATAGGATTGAGCTGCTTTTGGATTTACTACCTGATGACTATCAAACACAGAGAGGTTAGTTTACAGAGAAGTGAGCACAATATATTTCTACCGAACTTGCCAATGATATACTGATAGCATTTCAAGAAAATGAAATCTTTATTAAGTATGGTTTTTCAAAAGATTTAATAGAGCCTCTAATTTCTATACGTATTTTTCAAGTGTTACTTATTCAGATTTGTTAGAGGGATATATATGTGAATATTTATACAGTTTCCCAACAAATTCGGATTCATGTGTGTATATCGAATCGGAGCTGTCGTCTTTGAGTTTATCTGAGTTTGGGTAAGTGCATTATTCTTTTGAAGGAGCAGCAAATAATTTTTTTTGTCCGAATGCGATATGAATTCGGCGGTTTTCTTTTTTTAACCGCACTTATGTTTCAAGGTAATGGAGAAAGGATAATAGCTTCATTTAGAATAAATTAAGAGATGATGCGGAATAGAGCATCACGTAGTTTCGAAGTAAAATCTTTTCGGTAACTTTTTTCTCTGTTTAATCTTTGCCGTTTATTCGTAAAGATGAGGAGTCATTTGCAAGCGTATTAGTACAAAGGACATACTACCTCTTAATGGAAAAAGAGGCTACTGCATACGATGCACAGATATGGCTTCACTCAGAAGCTCTCTCTGGAACAGGGGTGCAAGAGTGGGGCACCTTTAGAAAGGCCCTTTTGCAAAGAATGTATTCAGTGGTGGTGCCCATTTTGGCTGAGATCATCGCATTTGCAGACAGGGACATGAACTTGGACTTGGTAAAGAGTGACAATAGTTGGGTTTCAAAGCTGTGGTTGAAGATTTTAGCTGACCCTACCTTTTCAGAACTGAGTTACAGCGAAATGATATCACCTGCTACTAATTCTGTGCGGGAACGTGTTCAAGTCATTGGCTCTGGAGCTGAGGGTCACAAGTTCTGTAGCCGGTTTCCATTTTCGTTCCTTATAAAGGAACGCGTGGAGAACATGGTTAAAGAGGCATCTAGCACCTCAGGTAATGAACTTGTCTTCGATTTTCTTTCATTTTGCCCTATTCTTGGCTTTTTTTCAAATTTGCTCGGCGTGTCCTTTTTTAAAATTGTAACTTGTCTACTATGTTTCTGACATTTTGTTCATTCTAAGTCTTAATAAAAAAGTGTCAAGAGTAATACTAACTTAAGGCTAATCGCCTTTTCCTAGCGTTTTCTATCGCTTACGAAGAAAGATCAGTATTGTGTTAAAAACTAAGAAGTAACTCTGAAGTGCTAAAGCGATGAAATCTAGTTCCGTGGCTAACCATTAGTTTTTTAAATTACTGCTTTGTCCTCAGCTTTACCCGGTTCTAGTACCACCCTGTTGGTCGCATTACGTGATATGATCGACAATTCGCAACTGGGACTTCTCTTCAAGGAATTACGCCATGAAGACTCCGTTGCTTCGCAATACCTGATGGATTTCGTACACATGGTGCACAAACCTTCAAACGATAATGAATACGAGGTTTCACGATACTTTTCATAACATTAATAGCCACACTCCCACTAATTGAACTCTAAAACTACCCCTTAGAATGTACTCTAGGATAGTCATTTGACTCGCTCCTCCCCCGGCTGGAAACATATTGCGTGATTAACTTGAGCGATGGGTGCGACTAGGACAAAAACAGTTCGAATAAATCTACGAATCTATTTGTGTTTGAGATTTATTTTAAGGACTGTTTCGCGTTGAAAGTTTACTTTTTAAATTAAATGGACTCTGACCCCAACCTGAAAAAGGTTGAAGGTGTTGAATACCCTGTATAAGTTGTTGTCTGGAAAACTTGATGTGGTCATTAAAGATGCAGATATATCAAATATGTTTTATACAAGACGGAAATCGATCCATAGATAAACTAGTTGGAGAAAACAGTTATTTTATTCCGGGGTAACTGAGACTTACCTCAGTGCAACTGAAACGCGGTTAAGGCTACATTTTCTTTTTTTTGTTCATGTTGTTTTTCAGCTTGTGTACGAAGCGATTCTTTCGTCTGCGAGAGAACTTGGTATCCTGGATGATGAAGATGATAACGAGTCGATTGACATAGCTCTCGTTCATGTCGCACACAGTAGAGTTCAACACCGTTTAAAGTATTTTGATACAATTGTCAAAATGAATCCAAGTCTTATCCCGCGACTACGTGAAGTACTTCAAGGAAGTGAGCCAGAAGTGGTGAGTTACTCGAGTTTTGTAATTCAGTGCATGAACAAAACGGTTGATAATAGTACATAATTAAAATTTAACCATTAACATTTTTCCTTGAAAATTTCAAGTATGCCCGAGAAACGGTGAACTTAATATCTTTTGAGTCTTTGTCATACCTTTCGTCAAAGTATTTTCTACGATAGCAATCGGGTAATTGGTAGGGTTTTTCGGGTATGGGAGTGGTTTGAAAACTAGTGTATTAGAGGTCCTTGGCATGCTAGGTTGTTTTCTTACTTCAGATGATTGTTACCGCTGCAATGATGTCATGCCCACCACGAGCCCTTCTCGCCCCTTGCTACACCTTGGGTCTTTCTGATTTTGTCCCTTCCTTTGCTACATAATAAGTTAAACTTAATCTGAGTTGCACTTGTTAGTGTGCCTCGTCTGTAAATTAAAGATTGATTGACTGTACTGTATTGTTGTTGTCATTATCATTATTATCATTGTTACTACTATTGTTATTATTATTATCATTATTATTATTATTATTATTATTGCTATTATTATTATTACTACTATCATTTTACAGCTTTTGGATGTGGTAGCATTGCAAATTTGTCTTGAAGCGATCGAGCCATCACGAGAAATGTTGCTTTTTCCGGACACAAGACAAATTTGGTGTGACAGAGTTTTGTCTATGAGACCAGCGGTGGAAGACATGATAAGGAAAGAGAGGTTCGGACCTGTCACGGAGAAATGTTCAAACTATGGAGAGAGATCGACAGTACTGCTTGATCGCTGCAGGTAACGTAACATCCAATTTGTCCGCTAAAGCTTGGGTTTGACCGAGGCAAGAGCAGAAGTCGACTAAAGGTGCTGACGTAGTTTGCTGTTGATAATCCGTCAAGCCATTAATAGGGTTTTGTATAATCGCTCACTCGCTCACAGTGTCCTATACCTGAGGATTTGTCTGAAAAATGAGTCAGTCGGTCAACCGTGCATGTATTGTCAGTCAATGCATGCACAACCCTTAAAGGTCATTTAAATCGTAAATAATTGACCTCAAGATTTTCAAGGTCTCTTTTATATTGAGATCGTTTAAAATTATCTTGGGAATGCGTTATTGGTGCCGAGGCTGCGGATGTAGCGGGAAATGATTCCAGATATGGGAGATGTCTCATGAGAATAAGTTCTCAGGGCCTTGAAAATTTTTTGTTTGGTTCCCGAAAAAAAAAAGCTTTCCTCTATCTTATTAATACAATATTTTTAGTACCTTGTTATAAGGGGATCCATACGTTAAAGAGAAATTCCGATATTGGTTTTCTTTTAAAGTATTAACTAGATGCTAAAAGCGATCATGTTGTTCTCGTGTGGATCAGGTCCATGTGGCAGCGAATCGGAGCCGTCAGACTCTTTATAGAGCACGTGACTTTGTTCGCTGAGGAAGATGAAAAAGCCAACTCCGAGAATGTAACTATTTTGTGGAAGGTGCGTATAGTTAGTTAGGTAACTATACCAGTAAACAGTTTTTCTTTTAAGAGCAGATCCGTGCAAGAATGAAACAAAATCGCAAATCTTCGGCAAAGCTGAAAAAATCAAATTCACTCGTCTTTTGCATATAGATAGCCTTTGGTAAGTAGATGAATGCTATACAGTTTTTTTCCTTGAAATGTCTCTTAATTCACGAGAAAAACGATGGAAGCCGTTTTCAACTTAAGCACAATTTGGCGATCCCAAACACGAGTAAACAGGGTGGAAATGAGTCATGATTCTCTTGACTCGCTTGTCAAAACTGCTTCGCTAGAAAAAGCCGTCATAGTTTCAATTTGTTGAATAACTTACCATGGTCTAAACACCATGATTTCATAAACATTAGATTTGTCTGAGTATTCAAGGGAAGCAAAGAAGTTATGGCTCTCCCCGTGCTCTGTAAAACGGTAGACGAAAAATAACGACTATTTTGAGCCTGTGCCTTTGTTTAGAATTTCGTAAGATTAAGAATGACAATACCCGAGATAATGAGCCGCGACGTAACGCGACGGTGTAGATGTCAAACTTACGGAGACCGCAGAATGGAGAAAACAACAAAACGGACTGAATCTCTGGACTCATCTGAACAGCTAAGAATATAATATTTGAGTTAAGGTTATTGTATTTACTTTGCTATATGCATCGGAGTCGTGTTAATTTTTGTTATATCAATATCTTGATGGTCACATGTACATATCAGAATGGCTTGAGTTTTTTGTCTTTCTTCACGATTTTCCAAAAATTGTAAAAAATTCCAAATTCATTTCCCCAAACTAAACTTTACGTATTCTGAAAGATCATCAATTCTAGCATTATCATTCGTAATCTTACGAAATTCTGAGGAAAGGCACATGCTAAAAATTATCGTTGTTTTTCGCCTACCGTTTTACCCAACACGGGAGAGCCATAAACTTTTGACTTCTCTTGAATACTGGATTTAATCTAATCTTTATGAAATCACGGTGTTTAGACTATGACAAGTTGTACAACAACTTGGAACTGTGATAGCTTTTTCTAGCGCAGTTTTTCTGATACGCGAGTCGAGTGAATCATGACCTATTTTAATCCTGTTCGGTGTCGCCAAATCGATCCCAGGACTGAATACAAAACGTTTTGGTTTTTTCGGAAGCAAATAATTTTTTTAAGGAAAAAATGTGCACAGCAATTGTATACTTTCTAAAGGCTACTTGTATGCAAGAGAACAGCGAATTTTAGTTTTTTAACTTTGCCATTCAATGTTTGATTTTTGCACGAATTTACTCTTAATTTGAAAGTAAAAAATGGAAATGCTAAGTCGTAAATTGAAACTCAACAACATGTCTTCTTTCCGTTAAAGGCTTTGGGGGATGAAACAGACTTTTCTTCGCTGAGATCACTGCAGGCCTTGGAAAAATTCTTAGTTAACTACAGTGAAGACGTTAGGCAGAGGTAAAATAGCGCAACCATGACAGGTTTAGGGTCGTAAATACGCCTAGAGGGGCAGACATAACTATTGTTCATTATTTTTTATTCTGTAGTACACGGTTCAGTTGGTACGTATCGCATAGAATCTCAGTCTTCTTCGGTCTCAGAGGAAGAGTAAAATTTAAATACGTCGTTATGGACCCAAAGGACTGCACATCAATTCTGTTATTTTTTTACATTGCTTCATGGTTTCTTTGTGACTACAGGACCAATGAAAAGGCGGCAACCGAGTTACGCCGCCGATGTAATGCCTTTTTCATGGAGCTGGTGTCAATATTCTGTTTTGGTGACTCGGTGTCAAAGGACCTTGAACAGGAAGCTATCACTCTACTTATGCATTATGTCGTCGGTCATCAATCATCTCAGACAAAGGATTTCTCTCCATTCCCTGATCATGCTATTGACCCCACTCCTGTGGTGTGTTCATTTCTTCTCCAGTTGTTATTACGTTCAAGGTAACTAACATTAGGGATAAATCCTATCTTCTTTTAATATATTTCTCAGTTGATTACAGAACCTAGACCTTCGTTGTCCTCTTTACAAAGCCTAGACCTTTGTTGTACTCTTTACAAAGCCAAATTGATTGTACTTGTGATACCTCTTATCACTTCATAAAGGAGGAAGTATAAACTTGATTGTCTCTTATTTTTTCTTAAATAGAACAGAGCTGGTGAAAAATCATTTAGGAGACTTCTTGAAAGGGGCTAAGAACTTAAAACGAGAACCTTCGCATATCAAGGAAGTCTCCCTTTTGTATGTTCAGTGCAGGGAGGTACGTGAACTGATATCTTCCACAGTGTAACAACAGTAACCGAAGTGAATCAATTGCTAAGAGCCGGATTAAATCCCTTTCCGTATAGAGAAAGGGTCTCACTTGACTTCGGTTTTTCGCGAGAAGAAATAGAAGATTTTTTTCACTTCATTGTACTAAATGAACGGACAGACTTAAAGAACTTCAAAACATACATTTCAATATACTTACGGTGAATTTCCTTGCCATTTAAAACTGAACAGAGAAAAATCTTCGTAGATAAATCGTGGATGTAAGTGAATAAAACATTCCGCAAGATCATTGACTGCTTTTGAAGAGAACAATCGTCGTGATCCATTTAACTCGAGTTTGTTCGCAAAACCAGTGCTGTTGGTCATTCAAATGTGTACATGCTCCTTTTTCTTACGTACTCTCTCATTGATCGTGGTAGGTAGTTATAAAAAAAAATTGCAAAGTTTGCTGGGAAGCCTTGTAAATCACCTTCATTACGCAAATAAAAATGTTCGACGAAGACCTCGGGCAAAGTTTTTCCTAATAATGACCTCCCGGCTGGTTAGTAACATGATAAAAAGTAAATCAACTGAAATCAAATTTACCTTACATTCGCGAATGTTACGTATGTCACTTTTCTCTATATTGAATGCATTCCGCCATAAAATCTGAGTTTTCTTCACATTTACATGGTTTTTTCTATTCAGGACTTATTTGTGAGCCAGTATCAAGCCAAGTTTGCAGACAGGAGGTTGACATTAAAACTCAAACATGCCACAGAGAATTGCGAAGGGACAGTCACAGCTCTTACGCACATTGACGAGGATTCTGCTGAGATGAGCGCTCGTTCTCTGGAGGGAGTTGCTAAGGGACGTTTCGTCTTATCATTGGTTGTAGAGCTCCTTTACAAGTTATTTATTGAGGGAGACAGTAGCTACAGAGACGAAAAAGTTAAAAGAGAAGTAACAAAGTTATTAGTGTCTGCAAGGAAGCTTTGCTTGGAAATGTCGAGTTCCACACCGCAGCTCTACCTACTTAAACAGCTTGTCAGGCGGTATGGCTTGGACTGTGTTCGGACTTTGGGTCAATTTAAGGAACTAGAATGGATTCTACCCTCAGAGACTCGACAGCAGGTAGACGACAAATGATTAAAATTGCAATGAAATTAATTTCATTTGACCTGCGGATGAAATTGAAGTAAAGCAACAATCCTTACACGTGATCTGCAATTTAAGCAATTGCAGAAAAGAAGCTTGAAAAAATTCAGGGTTCGACCGGATTCAAACCCGTGTCTCACAGCTACCATTTGGGCGCTACTATCAACTTACTAATACGAAGCCGCACTTTTTCAACCTTTTTTTCTGTAATTGCTTATCTAGTAGCTCACCTGCGGGGATCATTGCTTTACTCGACTGATGATTATTGAATGGATTTCAGGAAATGTGTGAGAACTGAATCTTAAGAGAAAGTGCTATGCATACGTCTTAAGTGTGTGACAGGAAAAGAAGACCTGAATCCTAGGATAATTCAAACCGTGGCAAGATCTTACTTGGTAGTCAGGTGGTTTACTTACTGTGCTACGGGCAATCTTTTCGCAAGCCAAACCATTCACTAAGTGAACTGACTTTCCATTTACTCACTTAGGAGCAAAACCTACTCAAACCTCGTGAATATCACTTAACAATCACCGCAAATGTTTCTAAAGCGCAAAGGTCGAGATCTCAAGGAGCCAAAAAAATATTTTGAAAGTTCCGATTTGTCGCTTCCTCTGTCTTTCGTCTGACCCACTATAGAATGTCTCTCTTTAACGTGTAGGCCGGCTAACTCTTTACATTTGACCTTAGATCAAACATGTTGCTTAGTAATAATTTTTGATCTTCGATCTGTAGGAGGATGTGATCCTAGACAGGTTTCTTGTTCATGGAGACCATTACCGTGCTGTCCGTGAGGGATTGGCCAAAACTGTCATCAGTGGGAACATCCAAGACATTGTCTCTGTCATTACGGTTCGTGTTCACCCACGTTCATCTTCTTAATCAGTGAATAGGTTAAGCTGCAATGTCTACGGCGTGCGTTATTCAGTATTATCACAAATATGGTATAATTCCTTAGTACCCCTTTAAATTAATTCCATCAGAGAAGGATTTCTGATAAACGAAACTCAATGTTATCGACTTGATTGAGCTTGGATAATTAGTTTGGTTTGCCTTTACAACGACTCAGTAACTGAACCACAAGTAGTTTAACAGACTAAAGATATTTCGTTTAGCGAAGTTTGAATACATTTTAATCAATGACGGCCCCGTCAACCATCGGACATCTCACAATTGAAGCGTTGGAAAAGGTACTAGTCAGACAGTTACAGCGTGTAACAATGTTTCTGCAGGAAGCTGGATCACAAGTTGTCTACAACAATGTACCTCTTCTCCTCGCGATGTACCGTGAACTAACAATGGAAAATGTTTCACCAGTTCAGACACAGAATTTGTCCCAGGAGGTAAGCACACGTGACGCGTGGGCCTCCTTCTTTTTGCAGTAACTTTTCTTGGAATACATGTCCGCCTTTAACGCGCACTAGTTCGATACTTTTTTATTTGCTTTAGGGCTTCAAATAATGTCTCACTTGGTGCCGGTTTAATTGTTTGGACTGTTAGGGTAAACTAACTTGAGCACCACGCGCAAATGAGAGGCACCAGGATTCTGTTTAGGAACCCTATTTTACTCCCTGAGACTCTCTTTCCATTCTACTGAGTCAGCTCAAAGTACATAGTCCCGATCGGTAATCTTGTTTTGGTTTACGGGACCGCTGACCTTGGTACAGTCAGCATAGTTTTAGAATGCTAACCAAAACAATCTCATAAGACATTCGAAGTGAACCAATCTCCGAGAACAAAAACCTAAACAAAATCTCCCGTTGGGGCTTCTAAGCCAGGTCAAGGACGCACCTAAACAAGATTAGCGATGACGATTATCGTACGAGAATGAAGCTCTCTCACAACGGTCAAGGACATATTATTTAAAAGTTAACAATAAATGTGTTTTCTGGCAAGCAAATAATCAACCAAGGCTCACAAGACTCGCATAAGGATTTGAAGATAATCTAACAGGCCCAAACAATTCCAGAACATTCCTTATTTTCGCAGTTCCAAAACACTTCTAATTTAAGTAGTTCATAACAAATTGTCCGGTCAAACCTAATTTTCCCCGAACAGAACTCACTTTTGGCCATACAAACATCGATTACGTCTTTTCGCTGTGATAGTGCCCCCCCCCTCCCCACGACACGCTGTTCAAATATGTTTAAATATAAAACAAGAAGATTTTTAAAGCATTTCTTGACCTGTACGTGAGGATCAATCTCAATGCTGCCTAATTTTGACCGGACATTCTTAGTTAATCGGCTGTAATTTCAAGCCCTGTGCTGCATTCAGAGAAGACCAGTATTTGTTGGTTTATTTTTACCTTTCAGGTGAGGAAAAAGCTTGATGATTTTATAACAAATGGAGGACACTTTTCTGAAACGGTGAGACAAATTAAAAAAAGAAAAATGCATGTATGTTGTGAGAACATGGCTATTAAATTTTTTAAAATTGAATTTCGCTGACTCGAATGCAGGCCCAACCTTTCGCCAAAGAACTTCTTGCGAACCGTCAAGGAGGACATCTCTGGGAACTTCAAATCTACAATGGTAAAAGCCCACAGGAGCAGACCTTGGCTGAAATTGTGATCCACACAGCGGTAGCCTTACAGTGCGTTGGTTCAGGATCCTTGGCTCAACCTCTCTTCGCCCTTATGTCGGATCCATCGACCATGAACGTATGTACATGTTCATAAACGGCGAAATAACCATAATACACGATAATAAAGAGAATTTTTGTTCTCCAGAAAATTTAACCTCCTAACCTTTGGTCAATTTCTGGTTGACTTATTTTAGCTTCCATGTTCAATATTTAAGATTAGAATTGGAAAGGAGGATGTGTTCTCGATGTTGTGTTCCTTCTTAACTCGGAGAATGGCTGAAAGGAATTTCCAACTTGTTAAGTTGTTGTAATGGCCCAAATTCGTCCTTCCAACCATCACTCAATCACTCGTTTCTTCCATTTCTGTTAACCTTTTGGTAGGCCCCGCCGACTAGCGTATTAGGCTTTCGTGAGTTAAGATCTCGTGTGGGGCTCAACTGATAGCTGAAAATTGGTCAAAATTTTAACCCTAGAATGACTAAAACCCAGAAAGTTCTCAAAAGTAGGTGAAGAAAAGACAAACGCTGCTCTTTGATAATTTGTTTCTCGAATGGTGATTACTGTCCAAAAACTGGTGACGTTCGGAGCGCAAAGAGAAAAACATATGTTATGAAGAAGATAGTAATTAGAAAAGAAAAAGAAAGACAATGTATCTCGAAACATGCTGCCACTTAAGGCCAGTCCCTCGACAGTTCTTTTTAAAGGATAAGCGCAATCCAATGCGCTAAGTATGCAGATAGAATGTGAAACTGGAAACGTGCTTTCTGGGAGTAGACCACAGGGATAAAAGATAACTTTCATTAAAAAAAGGTTTTAAAATACAAAGTTCGATTTGCTCGTCCCTTTATGATTTATTTTGCAAGTTCAGTGGTTCACAGCCACTTTGATGTGAGTGTCTGCATTAAAACATACCTCCCATATAATTATTGGTTCTGTACAGAATTCGTTTCTACCAACAATGCCTGAGGATAACTATCTCGAGTGCATTAATGTCATAGCTGAAACTATGAAGGGAACAGGTTGGGTCGGAGAGTGGTATGGTAAGTGTTGTTGTTGTTGTTTTTTTTTTTCTGAAATGTTTTTGTAAGATGTTACTTTGTTTCAAAGTATCTATACAATTATTATAAAAAACGACTGCATAGAGCAAGAAGAAAACAAGTAAGTCTCCCATTCCGTTGCCTGACGTACATGAATCCTACACTACGTAATTTTTTTCTTTCCTTGTCAGAGTGCAGCAATCTCAACTGCAGACATCCGTATTTTATTGGGGAGGTAAGTTTTTACACGGTGTGCCGGCTCATGAACCGTGTACTAAGTCACTGTGTCATGACGACAAAAACCAAGGAGGGATGGAAGGGTGTGTTTGTTTATGAGAGGGGAAGCTCTTTTGGTTTAGGACGGTTTTAAACTGATTTTATCGAAACATCGAATTTTTCTTTACTGTCGTTGTCATGAATCATTCTAATATATGTAACGCACAGTCAACCCTTGTTGCTGTATTTGCTTACGTGTATTTTGTATGTTCTGGAATAGTGCTCGAAACCAATGGAGAAGAGCACTTGTCCTGGATGTGGAAGGGTCTTAGGAGGGGAGCAGCTCACGTTTTCAGAAGTATCTAAAGTTTCTAACAGGTAACTTGAAAATATTGTCTTTGTCATCCCTTAAGTACTCTATGTTACTGCACTACATTCTGGTTTAGTTTGAGTCCAGAATCACCCTAAAACGTTTACAGCAGGTAAAAAAGGAAGCGTCATTGCTCATTTTACTGATATCTATCTCAAAATAATGAACTTCCAGGAAAGACAGGACGAAGACTGGTCACGCCCTCGGAGTACCCGGTTCTAGACCTACTCACGCTGAGCCGCAGAGAGACATGCCACCGGTAGTGTGCAGTCTCTTGAGGACTTTAATGCAATCGGCTATGGTCATGGGAGCCTCCAAATATCCCCAGGTGATTATTTGCTCGCGGTCAGCGAGTAAGCAAAAGAGGAACTTTGTCATTGACTGAAGCTTCAAGAGTAATTAATTTTTATTCAGGCTGTAGGTGTTTAGATAAAAAGACAGAATGCTACGCTTCACGTATCATTAAATTTGTCAGAATTTTTTTTCACGATTATGGGCAGTCTTATTTATGAAAGTTTCATGCTGTTAAAATCCGCCTTTGTGTCACTCGTTAAGTCGCTGATTCTGATGGATTAGACATCAATGATACTATGTTGGTAATCTTGGAAAGCTCAAAAATCTTTTTCAAAATTTTTACTCTCACTCTTGACTATATTAACAGATCTCTAAATTCTCTTCAAAGGAAATCGCACAGCTGATCACACCTCCATGCCCGTCTCAGTGTGAGGGGCAATTCTTATGGCAGCACTTACAGAGAGACCTTGATGTCCTCGGTAGAGCACTGGGGCGCAGTGTTGACGACGCAGCTCTTACTGTTCATTTAGCATTACAGAGAATGATCTTCTTAAATGGAGGA